CACGTGGGGAAGGTGTGAGGGGCGGGTGTGAGGGGCGGGCCGGTCACGCGGGGCAGGTGTGCGGGGCAGGCGCGGGAACCGGGCGAGGCAAGAGGCCGGCGGGCACACTTGCCTGCAAAGGCTGCGGCGGCGGCGGCCTCGTCGGGGCCGGGCAGGGCCTCCGCGCCCATGTCCATGTGCCCGGGCTCCGCCGCCATCACCGCCACCGCCGTGACCCGCGGCGTCTCCCGCTCCGCCTCCGAGTCTGCGTCCTCCTCCGAGTCCTCGTCCCTGCTCAGCACCGGCTCCTCCGCATCGCCTCCCGCCGCGGCCGCGGCCGCCGCCGCCACCGCGGCCGCGGCCGCCACCGCAGCCGCCTCAGCCAGGCCCAGCTGCTTTGCCGCCGAGTCCGAGTCCTCCATCCGGACTCCGCCGAGCCCTCCCGAAGGCGCCGTCCGGGGCCGCCCGAAGCGCCGGTCGCGGAGCCCGAAGCGGGGTCCGAAGAGGACGCCCGAGCTGGGCCGAGGCCGCCCGAAGCCGCCGCCCGAACAGGGGCCGAAAAGGCAGCCAGCCGCCGAGCGGAGCCGAGTCGAACCCGGCCACCGAGCGGAGCCGAGGAGAACCGAGGCTGACCGAGCAGGGGCCGAAACTGCACGAAGCCGCCGAGCCGAGACACAGTCCGGAACCGAGGAGGGTCGAAGCTCCCCGAAGTGGGCAGCCGAGTCAGTCCGAATAGGTCCGAGTCCGCACGAGGGTTTCCGAGAAGCTCTGCCCAGCTCTCCTCACTGCCTAAGAGGTTGAGGCGGCTGTCTTTCCCGGCCGACAGGGCTGGACGGCTCTGGGCAGATTCCCGCGGGCGTTCGACGCAATTCGGCCTCTGAGAGAGAGCCTAGTGCCGCGGGCTTCGCCCTTTCCCGAGGCCGGCGGAAGCCGAGTCAACCCGACACCGAGCCGAGCCGAGCCGAATGTCCCCGAGCCCGAATGCTCCCGAACCTCGGCTCTCCGCCTCCTCCCTTCCGAAAGTGCCCGAGCGCTCCCGGACAGACTAATCGGGCCTCGGCCGTGGCTCGGACGTCCGCTCCGAAACGCGGCACGGTCGGGCCCCTTCGTCAGGAGACGCGAAAATGGCCGAAGGAGCGCGAGCGGCGCAGTCTCAGAGGCTGCCGGGATCGCGACGGACCGGCGGGCGGGGCGGCTAAGATGGCGGCCGCGCGGCGAGGTGAGCTCCGGCGGCGTGGGGGTTCCGTGCGTGCCGCGGCGTTTCCATGCGGTGGCGGTCCGGTTTCCGTTTTCGGTGCGCTCACGGGGCTGTGCCACCGCCCCCGCGTGAGCGAGGCAGCTCCGTCACCCCACCGAGAAGCGCGGCCTGGCCCGGGTGGCGGGCGTCGTGCGCCCCGCGGAGCTCCCCCGCGCGCGGACGCCTGGCCCTGGGGAGGGCGGGTGCGGAGCGACTTTGGGGGCCCCGGGCCCCGGCAGCTCTTGTCCCGCGCGCGGCTTTTGCGAGGACACGTGGGCGGGACGGGCGCGGGGCTCCGGTAGCCTTGGACTCCTCGCCCAAAAAATGGCCCGTGCCCGTGCCCGTGCCCCGGCTGCCCCGCGGGAGGGGCGCCTCCGAGAGGAGGGCCGGGCAGACCGCGGCGGGAAGGAAGGCGGCCATCCCGCTGCCGGCCGCCCCGCGGGGCTCGGCTGCCGCGCGCACTTCCCGGTCATCCGGCGTCGGTTTGGAGGAGGGAAGCGTGGCCGCTCCCGGGCAGGCCGGTTTGTGGGTCTGCGTGGGTAAAGATCGAGTTCAGGCCGGGCGCCGCGGCTCGCGCCCGGGGTCCAGCACGTCGGGAGGCCCAGGCCGCTCTCCGGAGACGCAGGGTTCGTGAGCACCGGCCAGGCTCGGGGGCGCGCGCCTGTGCTCTGGGCCGCGCTGAAGGCTGAGCGGCCGGCGGGTCACTCGAGCCCCGGAGGTCGAGGCTGCCGTGGGCCGGGATCGCCCACGCCGTGACCTCAGGCCACTGCGCTCCAGCCTGGGCCACAGAGCAACACCGTCTCCAAAAAAATTACGCGTATCCCAGAACAAGCTGTCGTCACACACCTTGTCCATTACATCACGGAAGACATTTGTTCCCTTTTCCTTGCAGGCTTAACTTCCGTCCTGCCGAGGCTTTTATACGGTTGTTTTTCCCAAGCCCCACAACCTCAGTCTGCAACAGTGAGCAGCTGGCACTTGGCAGACACACTGGAATTGTTGAAGAAGCCCACCTTTGGCCAGCGCGGTGGCTCGTGCCTGTAATCCCAGCGCTTTGGGAGGCCGAGGCGGGCGGATCACCTGAGGTCAGGAGTTCCTGACCAACATGGAGAAACCCCATCTCTACTAAAAATACAAGATTATCCGGGTGTGGTAGCGCATGCCTGCAGTCCCAGCTACTCGGGAGGCTGAGGCAGTAGAATGGCTTGAACCTGGAAGGCAGCGGTCGTGGTGAGCCAAGATTGCACCATTGCACTCCAGCCTGGACCACAGAGTGAAACTTTGTCTCAAAAAAAAAAAACGCCAGCTTTTTTTCGTGTGTGTGAGACAGTCTTGCTCTATCACCCAGGCTGGAGTGCAGTGGTGCAATCTGGGCTCACTGCAACCTCCGCCTCCTGGGTTCAAGCGATTCTTCTGCCTGAGCCTCCTGAGTAGCTGGGACTACAGGTATGCACCACCACACCTGGCTAAATTTTGTATTTTTAGTAAAGACAGGGTTTCACCATGTTGGCCAGGCTGGTCTCAAACTCCTGACCTCATGATCCACCCACCTCAGCCTCCCAACGTGCTGGGATTACAGGCGTGAGCCACTGTGCCTGGCCAAAGAACCCAACCTTTAAGAAAAGAATCAAAAGGGATGAAAACCCCAATTAATGCAAAATCAGCACAAATAATGACAGGTATTTAGGTAGCCCGGTTTAAGAACAGATCAGGTTTAATGAATGGCCTGCTGGTAATCCGATGCCATGTGGTTTGCGGTGCCCTTGGCTTTCTGCTTCCAGCAGGTGCCACCTCTTCCAGGAGCCCAGTTCTGAGCCTTTGATGCCAATGTCCTGTGTTTACTGGCTTAAGACTCTTGCCCGTGTGAGATTCCACAAACTCTGGCACAGAAGGCCCCAGATCTGCCCAAGAAGACAAAAATCTCACTGAGGCCGGGTTTCTGTCCTGCCCTCCCTGGCGCTGAAGGGGAAATGGAAGAGAAGCTGTGTTCAGGTGGCTCTCCTGCCTGCTGCCCAGGGGTGCAGCTTACGCCTCCTTTTATGAGAGGTTTTCACCCAATTCTAGGTCACTGTTGGTGGATCCACACATGTAGAGACGTGCACATATCACGTGCAACTCGCAGGAGCCCGTTTCAGACAGTTAATCCCACCCGGGCCACAGTGGATCCAGGGTGAGTCAGAGGAGTCTTCAGATGCAAAACCTCAGAATCAGAAATGAGGAAAGAGACTCCACTCACTCCTTGGGCTTCCTGTCGCCCCCGGTGGGTGGGAGAAGGTGCAGGAGTTGGCGATGAACAGGGTGGACTGCGGCACTGCTGGTTTGGAAAATTCTTATTTCTGGAGGGATATTTGGGGATAACGTTCCAGAGGAATCCAAATGTCTGTTATCAATTACGGAAAAAGATTTGTTACAACCCAAGTCAGAAAAGGTTTTCGTCTAGTCCCGTATGTGGCAAGTATGGAGAAGTGTCAAAGCTGCTTTCCCTGAGGGCCGGCTGGAGGGTTCACTTTCCACCCACCCCACCCCACCCCCATACTCAGGGTCTGCAGCCTCAGGTTCTAAAAGGCAGAGACTACTGCCTCACGGAAGGATGGACAGAGAGGCGGTGGAGCAGGCCCACAGTAAATGTGTGCTGCTTTCTACACACCTGTGAGATCAAAGGAGAATTAAAGCGGGTGGTTCCTGTCTAGAGCAAGACGCAGGAAAGCATCCTGGTGGCTGTCAGGCCTTGCTCACGGACCCTTTCTCTTCCAGGGAGAGGCTCCTCCACCATGGTATCCTGCTGCGTGCCCCTCCAGGACAGCGCCCAGAGGGCACAAGTGCTGCCACGCAGAGCACCTTCCTCACCCTCATGGTTTCCCTAAGTTCTGCCTACTAATTCCACTTCTGGGAGGGGGTGTTCCTGGACAGATTTAGAGTTGATGTAACTTCCTCTGGTCGGTGTGCTGGCTCCGTCCCCCACCTGCTGAGGCCTGCATGCACAAAGTGGCTTAGCATGCCCATCTGCCCAGCTACCAAGGGGTGGCCACCTGCCTCTGTCCTGGCCACTAGTGGCAGGAAGATGGAAACCCCCCACTTTGCATGTCCATAGATTCTATTTTATTTCTGTCTATGTATTTTTAAGGATGGAGCCTTGATCTCATCCAGGCTGGAGTGTGGCAAACACAGGTCACTGCGGCCTTGGCCTCCCGAAGCGCTGGCATCACGGGCGTGAGCCGCTGTGCCTGGCCGCAGTATGAAACGTACACAGCCCAGGAAGTGGCCAGTAGATACTTAAGTGCCCCAAACAGAAATATATTTTCTCTGAAGAGAATGAAAAAAGGGGCCAGGCACGGTGGCTCACACCTGTAATCCCAGCACTTTGGGAGGCTGAGGTGGATGGATCACTTGACGCCAGGAGTTTGAGACCAGCCAGGCCAACATGGTGAAATCCTGGCCCCACTACAAATATAAAAAATTATCCGGGTGTGGTGGTGCATGCCTGTAATCCCAGCTACTCAGGAGGCTGAGGTAGAAGAATCACTTGAACCTGGAAAGCGGAGGTTGCAGTGAGCTGAGATCACGCCACAACACTCCAACCTGCGAAACAGAGCAAGATTCTGTCAAAGAAAAAAGAAAATGACAAAGTTATTTTTTCTACCTCGTAACTGGGACAAGAGTCAGGGTAACATCACTGGGAGTGCCAGTGTGTGGAGGCTGTCCCCTAACCAGTCCTGTCCACAGTCACTGAGGGCAGGGGCTTCGGTTCTGGGATCGGTGTGGGGGGGTCCCACAAAGGCCCTGCCAACTCATGGGACCACATTTGCCTCAAGCATAGTGATAGAAGCCCCAGACAGACTGGCAGCCGTGGCCAGGTCCCCATGGCCACCTGGAAACATGACAGAACCCGCCCTTCCTGTCAGCACCTGGGAGGCTGCCCCCAAGCCTGTTGAGCCTGGGATCCTTAGCCACTCACCAGCTCTCTTCAGTTCCCCTTCAAATGCTGTTTTACATCAGTGGAACGTACTACACCCTGTATTTCCTTGCCACGCTCCTGATAATCACGTATAAAAGTAAGTCAGGGCTGGGCGTGGTGACTCACGCTTGTAATCCCAGCTGTTTGGGAGGCTGAGGCGGGTGGATCACTTGAGGTCGGGAGTTCAAGTCCAGCCTGGCCACCATGGTGAAACCCTGTCTCTACTAAAAACACAAAAAGTAGCCGGGCATGGGGGCAGGTGCGTGTAATCTCAGCTGCTTAGGAGGCTGAGGTGGGAGGAGTGCAGCGAGCCGAGATCGTGCCATTGCACTATAGCCTTGGAGACAGAGCAAGACCTTGTCTCAAAACAAGAGGAAAAGGCACGTTGAGGCCGCCGCTGCTGCCCTGGGTAACGTGTCCGTTCTCCGTCCGTGCTCTTCAGGTCAGGTGTTCAGCTATCCTCACCGCTGCCTGGTGCTCGATCTCGCTCTGCTGCTTCTCATGGGGATTCTGGAAGCTGTTCGGTTGTATCTGGGTGAGTGGACGGTCAGACTGTAAGGAGCTTGTGATAGGAGTTGCTGTCTGCTACCACAGCCTTTAAATACTCATTTTTTCATAGTATGGTTCTTGGAGACATTTGTATCCAGACTGCTAACCCAGTTGCTTTGCAGGCTCTTCTTACAGTGTCATTAAGTATTAATTGAGAAGTTTTGTCCCAGAGACAAATAACACTGGGGCATCGCTGGGGAGACGGGAAGTGTGTCCTGCAGAAGCCCAGCCCGCCACCACATCGGAGCTCCAGAATATTTCACCTGCGCCCCTTCCTTCCCCTTGGCCTCAGCTGTCTGAGGAGGAAGGCCTGGAGAGTTCTGCCAGGTCCCAAGGAGGCAGGGTCTAGAGGGGCGGGAGCACCCCCCAGCCTCCCCAGTCCATCTCTAGAGGTCCCCAAGTCTGCAGCCCCTTCAAGTGGCCTACTTTTTTTGAGATGGGGTCTCAGTCTGTTGCCCAGGCTGGAGTGCACTGGTACGATCACAGCTCACTGCAGCCCTGGCCTCCTGGGCTCAAGCGATCCTCTCCCGTCAGCCCTCCCACTCCTCCCAAGTAGCTGGGACTACAGGCACCTGCCACCACGCCGAGCTAATAATTCTTATTATTTTTGGTAGAGACAAGGTGACAGGTCTCCCTGTTGTCCTGGCTGGTCTTCACCTCCTGGGCTGGAGAGATCTGCCCACCTTGGCTTCCTAGAGTGCCTGGTGACAGGTCTCACTGTGTTGTCCTGGCTGGTCTTCAACTCCTGGGCTGGAGAGATCTGCCCACCTTGGCTTCCCAGAGTGCCCGGCCCTTACTCCCTTTTTTTAACCACATAGTTTATTCATTTGATCTTCTCTTGGTCGGCTGTGTGGGCGGGAGTGAGTTTGGTTTCGCCCTCCTCGGAGCTCACCTCTGTGGCCCGCGGGGTCCTGACTTCCAGCCCTCTGCATGCTTGTGGTCACGGCACATGTGTCTGTGAAACGCTGCCCTGCCATGGGGACACGGCAGGCACGTCTGAGGCACTTTGCACCTGCCAGGCTGGAATCGTAGGCCCCTCTTGTTCACACAGACACACCGCTGAAGCCCAATGTCCAGTGAAGAGCGGAGGCTGCAGGGAAGGTGGGCCCCCTTCTGCTCATCATGAGGCCTCAGACCCCACTAGGAGGATGGAGGTGGTCCTCTCAGCTGCCCGTCCCGCCCCGCCGCAGGGGGCCCGGCTGTCCATGCCTCGCCTGTGCTGGCAGATGGTGCCTGGGCCTCTGCAGCTCGCTGCCCAGAGCCACACTGCTGGGAGGGTGCTACTGTGGCACAAGCCTCAGGTCTTGGCCCGTCCCAAGGTGGTGGGGGCAGGGTGTGTCACGGCCCTTCGGGGTCTGCTAGGCCAACAAGGACCCTCCCCAAGCACACCACACCCTGCAGGGTCTCCAGGCTCCTGGGCTCACCTAGTGACTAACCCATTTGTTTGCTAAATACGCAGTTCTGTTTTCAATATGTATTCATGAAATTTTCCAGAGCTGGCCTTGGACCAGAGAAAAATATTTTTGGGATTTTTCAAAAAAATCCCTTCCGTTCCACTTGGAAAAGGTGGCAGATGCACTTGAACCATTTTAGAAACCAAAGTCGCCCCGTCCACACAGCCGGCCACAGGACCCAGGCGCGGGTCAGCCATGGTGCTGCAGGGGCACCTTCCCAGGAGGGGCTCACGCCGTGCTGCACGTGCTCTCTGGCACTGCTGGGTTCTGGGCGGCCCCCAGGGCGGTTTCCCCTGGATTCCCCGGGCTGGAGGGATGCAGGCACCCCGGGCGGTGGGCTCCGGGGAGCGCCCTGCTCCACTCTCACTCCCCCTTTGCTCTGCTCTCCAGGCACCAGGGGCAACCTGACGGAGGCTGAAAAGCCGCTGGCCGCCAGCCTGGCCCTCACGGCTGGCACCGCCCTCCTCTCTGCCCACTTCCTGCTGTGGCAGACCCTGGTGCTGTGGGTGGACTGGGCCCTCAGCGCCACACTCCTGGCGCTCCACAGCCTGGAGGCCGTGCTGCAGGTGGTCGCCGTCGCCACCTTCACCAGGTAGCTGCGGGCACCCAGGGCACCCCACACTGGGGCCCCCTCCTGGCCGGCCAGACCCACTGTCATCTCCCATTTCCTGGACCAGAAGGGCACTTTTCCTAGTGATTGGCCGTAGATGGTTCTGGATGGTTCCATCTGTCTTGGCAGGGGTGGGAGGAGGAGCCAAGGCAGAGAAAATGCTGGTGTTGGGGACAATGGCAGGGACCACACGGAACTGCCCTCGAGGTGAGGCCCACTGTGTGCTCAGCCCGGTCACAGTGTGTGCTCAGCCCGGTCAGGATCTGGCTTCAGCAGCCAGGCCTGCATGGACCCCACAAGCCCCCAGGGCCGAGAGGGAGGACAGAGCCCCTCAGAACAGAGGCCTAATCTCAGCATTCCCCATCACCCCTCCTTCCCCGACGGTCCTACTGTGTGTTCTGGGAGCCCCGTTTACTCCGTGGCCAGGCCCCAGCCGGGTTTCCAAGTCGGGAAGGAAAAGCAGGATGGCGTGGGCCTCGTGCTCGGAGCGCCCCCAGCTCTGGCTGGTGGGCAGGCAGGTGCGGGTGCAGTCGTGCACTCTGGGTTCCCAAAGCAATAAATGCAAACAAGCCAGCAGCTCTGGTGTCGGGATCTCCACCTCAGCCACGCTCCTCCCTTCCTTCGGGGCTTCTGAGGAGAGGTTGGGCTGAGGCCGGGATGGGACGGGGGAGAGAGAGCAGCTGCCGGCCCGTGTTCTGAGCCTCCGTCCACGAAAATTTTAGCAACTTTTGCCTTTTGCACTGAGTCCTAAACAAATTCTGTCTGTGATTTTTTTTCCCATTCCCAGATTTACTGTAAGTTCCCCTTACAAAGTATCTAAACTGTTAACTCCTAGTCGTTTTTCTTCATTTGCTTCTGTTGTGTTTTCTATGTTAGGAATAATTACATCCAAGTATCTAGAGATTTTCTCTTCATCGCATTCTGTAAATAAAGAACTGCGTGTGCCTCTGAATTTCTGCTGATGACGGCCGCCTTCGCCACCCCATCTCCAGTTCTGCCTCCATGGAGGGAGCGCCCCGCTTGCCACTACTCCAGTCCTGGCGGGCCTCATCCCCAGCGCTGGCTGCCTTTGTCGGAGTCACCCTGGGCGCCCTCCACTCGGTGGACTCCTGAAGGCAGGAGGCTGCGGGACTTCCTGGGCCTCCCCCGGGGCTCCCTCAGCTACGGTGGCCGCGGCTGCAGCCCCTGAGCAGCCTTTCCCGCCAGTGCTCCTGGAAGTACCTGGCTGCCTGGGCTGACTTTCTTTGACCTGCCTGTGGCCCCCGAGGCCACATGAGCTGCAGGACGGGCCTGAGGACCTGCTTCTCATCCCTGTGCCCCTGCAGCAAAGCCCCGCACACCAGCGCCAGAGCACCTCCCTGACCAGCGCCGGCTGCCCTGCACACGCCTGCCTGGGCTTGCAGACGACCAGCTGGGCACGCCTGCCACCTGCAGGAGTCAGCCCAGGGACCACGCGGGCTGCGGAAGGGCCTCTTCCCCGAGGCTGGAGACCTGTTACCTTTGCGGTTAATGGATCCTGACACCTCCAGTCTCAGTGGGTGCACAGAGGCCAGGGTCACCTGTTCCACAGGGAATGCCATGGCTCCAGGTGGCCCAGAGTGTGGGGAGCCAGTGAGACCAGCCTGGACTGTTTTCTGAGGGCAGGCCGGCACTCACAGTCCCACTATAGACACGTGTATGGGTGGAGAGAGACCCTTGAGGGCACTCACAGTCCCAGTATAGACACGTGTATGGGTGGAGGGGAACCCCCTTGAGGGCAGGCCGGCACTCACAGTCCCAGTATAGACACNGGCACTCACAGTCCCAGTATAGACACGTGTATGGGTGGAGGGGAACCCCCTTGAGGGCAGGCCGGCACTCACAGTCCCAGTATAGACACGTGTATGGGTGGAGGGGAACCCCCTTGAGGGCAGGCCGGCACTCACAGTCCCAGTATAGACAC